GTGCTTGAATTTCTGGATTATCACACCAAGTTATTTGAGCTTGTAGAGAACTACAGGCAGGCACTACAGACATATTCAACATTTGAATGTGATGACAATGAATGCTGAAAAGGGTATGACCCTTACTGAGGAGTATAATGCCCAATAATAAAAAGAAAATAGAACAGAAACAATTCCTCCATCAAGTTGTGCAAAATCATAGAAAATACTTTTTTAACAGCAAGAAGGAAATGCTAACAATGTAGATGTGACTAACCACACCAAAAATCATGTACAAATTATATAACTATGTAATTATACTATTTTACATGCAATAAAATAATAATATACTTTAATTAAATAATTTATAATACATACAGTACCAGGCCACTGCAGTCTAGAAGTTCAACCTCATTGAGCAATCTCGAAATATGATCCAAAATGAATGAAGTTTGACATCTAATTTTTTTTGTACATTGGAACAAAATTAGGAGGTGCGAGCTTTAGCCTTTATAACCTAAAATTTTACCTGCAAATAAAGACTACCATAATTGGCATCAGACCACAAACCATGGAATGAGCAAAGTTAGAGATATGTACTCTTTACAAATATATCCAAGTTTAATGTGTTCAATGACAAAGAGGAGAATTGTATCACAGTGAATGAACATCTATAGGGAAATAACGTGGACAGTACAAGTTTGGAGATTGTATCCTTGAAATTGTCAAAGCATTCTATTATCTAGCCCACTTAAGTGAATCCCATATTTAGCATATAATTCATCCTTACTCAGAAAACTATCACACAGGTTCAACCAGCTCACCTGTTGCTCTGAGCGTGTCCCTAATAATGTTTTATTTAACCCTTAGATCCTGCTGAATAAATCATTCTGCCCAAGGGAGCACTCCCAAAAAGGCTACAGAACTATTTCTATCTTAAGCTTTTAAAAGCTTTTTTTTTTCTTTATACTTTCAAAGCTTTTTTTTTCTTGCTTAGGAAATCTCTAAAAACAAAACAGATCTAGTTTATTCTATTTACAGAACATTACATAGAGATGTTATTCTGTGTAGTTTGTTTTATTTTTTATTTGTAAGTACATTCAAAGAAGAAAATGTTAATTACTTTTCTTCTTTTTTCAGCAAATCATTGTAGACTTCAGTTTACACAAGCTGCCACAAGTAAGTAAATAACTAAGCTAAATATAGAATTGTCGGATATTCAAGACTGTTTGGTATGAGTGCTATAATTTACTTTATTTTTTGACTTAATATGTAATGATTATTTAGTTTTCATAACAAAAGTGTTAAAAGTAATTATTTTAGAAGTGACAGTTGTCACAAGTTATGTAACTCTGTACAAGTTGTACATTTTGTGTGTATAGTTCAATTGTTGTAGTATTGTTGATGCCATTTTTCTTGAAACTTCAAAATTTCTCTCATTATATGAGTATTGTTACATCATAGTGCCTCATAGTTTGTAGAAAGTTCAAGACCTCGGTTGGACAGTGTGTGTGTGTGTGTATATATATATATATATATATATTTAGGCAACCAAGAGAGCACAATTTAAGAAAAGAAGTATTCAGTCAAGAAAATAATTATTTAGATATCCTATAATGTAGAGAATTTTTTGCACATATGTTTGACTTCTTTTTGAATATATTATTTTAAAACAAATGGCGGCGAGGCATGGCCAGGTAGTTAGGGTGCTCGACTCAGATTCTGAGGGTCATGGGTTCGAATCTCTGTCCCACCAAACATGCTCGCCCTTTCAGCCATAGGGGCATTATAAGGTGATGGTGAATCCCACTATTCGTTGGTAAAAGAGTAGCCACTGATAAATCAGAGACGGCTAACGCAGATAGCCCTCTTGTAGCTTTGCATGAAATTGAAAACAAAGAATAAAACAAATGCATTGTGTGTTGTCTGTTTATTGTTCATGTTTATCGCCAACAAATCACAGACACCTACTGTTGAAGAATCCCAGCCCACTCATATTTAAAACCCTGACAAGAATATTAAGAAATCTTGTGTAGAATTGCAACATACCATACCAGAATAGATAGAAACAATACAACACACAATTCTATGGGACAAAACTACAATCTCAACTCAGCCTCATAATTTTACAGCTTTAAATATCTGAGAATTCTTCGAAATAATTAAACTTATATAAGAAAAAGTATTAAATCGAATAAAGAGCCATCAGGTTAGTTATTTAGTATGTGATAAAACATATTGTAAACATTGATGAATTATTTCTATAAATAACTCTGAAAAGTGAAACCTCACGACCTTCAGAAAGTATAAATACTAAATCCTGAAGATGATGTAGAAGTGTGTTGAAATATGTAACATGTAGTGTGTTTTTAATTGAAAGCCTTTGATGGCTTTAATATAATTTTAATTGTCTAAATATGAATTGTTGCATTTTAATTATGCTGATCATTCATACTTATTTATTTCATTTTGTATACTAATCTGTCCAGCTCTAACATTGTTTAGAGAGTTTTAAAATGCTATGCTAGAAGACCATCTAAAACTACCATCATTAGAAAAAAGGATTGGACTATACATTTTATTTGCTTATCGTCACATAACCTATCAAGAAGAAATCATTAACCAAAAGTGGAAGCTAATCCATTTCCATGCACTATTCAGAGAAAATTCTTGTCCCATCTTTTTATTTTTCTTTAATTAGTGTACCAGTGAAATGTAGGAATATTGTTAATATGTGCATGTAGATATAGATATATAAGCATAAGGTACTTTACCTCTGCTAACATATATAGCTATTCTCTTTCAGTGCTGCCCTCTATATGCATGGTACAAGCCTTGCACTCACACATACCCCACAATCATCATGCAACAACAACTCCACCAATAGGAGTGTGACGCATGTGACTCCCTCTATTCGATTTTACCGAACTATCACCTCTCATTAGGCAGTACTCTAGTGCAGACGTTTTTTGATTGTGCTCTCTTCCAGCATTTTTTTCTGTGATATTTCATATGAAGTAGAAATATTTTTTACTTCAGTGTATTTCTGTAGTTTTAGGTGAGAACTTACCATTGTTGTTCTTTTTTTTTCAAATTTTTCATCATTACATGATGAATTCTGAAGTTCATATTACCACTTCAGAGGTTCTACCACCTACTTTAAAGACAATTACAACTCAACTGAGGAATTTTAGGCTTTCATTCATTGGGAGATTGATCATTATATGAGTCGACCTTCTTCTCCTGATACTGTTAGGCTTCCTCCTGAATCTGCGAAACCTGCTCATGACGATAAGGATTTTGAAAGCCTTTTTCCTCCACATGACTATGCTTTGCACTACCAATAATTTCCTGCAGAATCTGCTAGGCCTAACTTAGCCTTCAGGTGTGTTCCTTCCTTATTATATGACACCTCTTTCTCACAGTATTTTGTTTCTCAGTTGCAAGTAGGTGCTAGCATGCCTCACCCTCCACTGGCCTCTGGTGGTTTTGCCTTTCTTTACCATCAGGCAGATTACCCTTTTCTTGATTCTAAGTAGTTAGAATCAATTTTGCCTGTATGGGGGACTAACCTTGACAATCCTATCTGTTAATCCCATGCCCAGTTTTCCCTTACGATTTTCTTACAGTACTTGTCCACCATACACCTCCTTTATGAGGCTCTCCACTAAATATCCTGAAGGATTTTCATGGGATACACTCTCCCTCATCACCTCCATGTTGGCACAGTTATCCTCTTTGGCTCCCTCCCTTCACATGCAGTTTCTTTGCTGTTAGAATATTCTGTGAAGAGAAGCTGTCTTGCCTCAGGTTTGTGTACCATCTGCTTACATTTAGGACTTGGCTCTTTTTCACCATCAGTCCATTTTTCCAGATATTCCTGATAATTTGGAATCAGGTGTGGTATCTGAGGCAATATTTGACCCTTTCATCTTTGGTTCTGAGCCCTTGCAATCCCCTGTTATTGTTCCATGTCCTGTACCCTCATGTCCTTTACCTGTTCCTATCATCAAGGGTTCCACCATTTATTGTGTCTCTCGATGTAGGTTTCATTGGCACCATCACTACTGGTGACTATCCTGTGGGTTTCAGTCCATTAGGGGCTCATTTGGATGATTTTGTTACCCTATGGCAGGAATTTGCTGTTGATCCTTGGGTTATCTAAGTTTTGTCCAAAGGACTTTTCATCCAATTATTTTCTCCTTCCTGTTGTTTCTAGAATCTGTATCCTTTCCATTACCTCTGGTGACTATCCTGTGGGTTTCAGTCCATTAGGGGCTCATTTGGGTGATTTTGTTACCATATGGCAGGAATTTGTTGTTGACCCTTGGGTTTTCTAAGTTTTGTCCAAAGGACTTTTCATCCAATTATTCTCTCCTCCTTGTTGTTTCTAGAACCTGTATCTTTTCCATTACCTCAGAATCATATTACAAGTTGATGTCTGTCTGAAGCAGTACAGTCTCTTCTATTTCAGAGAGCTATTGAACCTGCCAGCCATCATTCATCAGGTTTTTACTCCAGGTTGTTTCTGGTACCAAAGAAAACCTGGGATCTGGCATCCTGTGATCAATTTGTCCTACCTCAACCAATTTTTGTATCTTCACCATTTGACCATGGTGGGATTTTTTCTCCAGTACTATGGATGACCAATGTAAATGTCTCGATTGCTTATCTCCATATTCCTATTTCTCATCAGTCAAGATATTATCATCGGTTTGTCCACCAAGGGGTTGTGTATCAGTTTCATGCCTTGCCCTTTGGGCATTTGCCCAACTTATGCATGCTTGGGATTGCACTTACACCAGTACATGGATGACTGGCTTCTGTTAGCTCATTTTGAACTGGAGTTGTTCACAACACACTCATCTGCTTTTCATTGAAGCAGCTCGAGTAAATTAGATTATCAAAATTGAGAAGTCCTTCCTGCTCTCTACCCAATATCTTATCCACTTGGGTGTTTTTGTTTTCAACAGCCTTCTCAGTCAGGCCTAACCTTCTCCTTTTCAACTCCGTTCATTAGAGCTTTCAGATCTCCATGCCCTTGTTGCTCCCTCTCTTTCTGTTCGTAAGGTTCTACTGCATTTGGGGACGTGGGCACATTTGTGGTCGCATCAGTGGTCTCTGCTTGGGATCCTTTGGATTCTTCCATTACCGTTCCTTCTTCCCTCATCGACGATCTCCATTGGTGGTTGAACAACATGTTGTCGGGTGTACCACTTCTTTCATCTCATCTGGATTTGCATCTCTGCACAGATGCTTCCCTCCATGATTGGGGCTGTTGGCCGATCAACAGATCCTCTACTACGGGGATTACAATTCTCAGGATTCTTCAGATGCTTTCAAAGAATGCTTATTTCTATCCCTTGCACTGGTTTATCCTCCTACTGAATGTGGGATTTTAGCCATATATGTGAGTGGAGGTAATGTACTGTATTGGAAGTTATAATTTTCCTGTACTGTAAATGTATTTCCGATAGGTGCTTCATTTTCTACCTAAACTCAAAGTGATAGTTTGGTAGAATCAAATAGAAGAAGTCACTTGTGTCAGGAGGGTGTCTCCCTCTGGTGGTGGAGGGTTGTCGCATGATGATTTACATGGGAGACACAGTTGAATCACAATGATTGTGGGGTATGTGGGAGTGCAAGACTTGTGGTATGCACATAAAGAGGTCAGCACTGAACAAGAATAGCTATATATATGTGAGAGGAGGTAAATACCTATCGGAAATATATTTTCAGTAAGGAAAACTTTAACATTTCTTTTGATGGACAAGCTTAGAACTTCATAAATTTTAAATTTAGTTTCACTAGTATTTATATAAAATCTTGTGTTTTACTAATTAAACTTGAATGTTGATATTGTTACATAGTCATCTAAAATAGTTTTTCCTCAAGTTTGTTCAATCATATTTTAAGACATGAAATGTTTTAAGAAGTATCATTTAAAGTATGTTTAACTGTACTAACATTTGTTTATGTATAATGTAGAATGGACTCACGTAAATTACAACATAAAAAATGGAGTGGCAGTAATACGATTAAACTCTCCAGGCTCAAAGGTAAGCTAACAATCAAATTTTGCATTCTAGTTGGCATCTTTTCTTTTTGTAATAAAAGAAAAATATTTTATCATGTTTAGTATTTTTAGAATGAAAGCTTTATTTACTACTTTAATTTTTTTAGTATAAAATATTTAGTTTCACCTATTTAACTACTTTCTTTGAAAATAATACAACTAAATATACAGAAATATTGGAAAATTACTTACAGCTGTCACAAGCCATTGACCCTTTAGTTCACAGTCTGGCATGATAGCCACTTTGCCAAACCTGGCCCTTTAAGATACTGAAGTACCCACTCTTATACTGCAATTTATGTTTAGTTTCCAAAGGTGTTTGTGAGGAGAGAATCAACAAATACGGCTAAATGTGAACAAGAGCAATTATACAAAAATATTATAAATGTGGTATTGCATGAATATAAACAAATAAACAATTTATATTACCAATCAATGATTATACTCACTAAACACTCACAAAGGACAAATAAAGTATTAAAAGAAATTTTGATGTGATCACTCACCTATATATACAGATTAGCTATTTTCCTCTTTAAGTCGCATCTTCAGCCTTGTGACCCTCCCACCTCAAATTCACATGAAAACATGAAATTGTGCTTATGGATGACAACATATCATGCAGCAAATCCCTCCCACCCCCCTCCCCCCACCAAGAGGAGTGTGCCACACATCCTTATGCAAATGCTCTCTCTCTACATTTACGCTCATAATTCCTCATTATTTTCTTTGGCACAGTCATTCAAAGATGTGTTTAATTTTGATGAGACTTGTTAAAGTATTTTTACTTCAACTGCTTTATTTTGTGTTTTCAAACTTTTATTATGAATTCACAAGTTAACATGAATTCTTTTTCCGCTGACATTTGTGCAAATTTCTTTTACAGTTACCAACAGGAAGGTTTCTTTACCTGTTGAGACTATGAAAGCCATTGTCCAACATGTAGTTGGGTCCATGTTACCGCCTGGACTCTCTTCTTACATCCCTACCACACATTTCTCTTCACAGAATTTTGAAGCTGAAGTGAGGAAGATGAAATAGTGACTTTTATCACTCAGTACTTCTGTATCTAATGGATATCTTACAACTTTTTTTTCTGTCTGATTTCACATACCTTCTGCCTGTTCTTCCTTTTTTTTTCTCTCTGATCAGTTTGTTTCGCAGCTGACATTTCCTTCAGGTTTAAGTTTGCTCCTGCTATTTTATGCTTTTTTCTCCCTGTCTTACTAGGCAACACATTACTGTATAGTATATCTAGGTGGACTTGTTTAAAAAAAATAAGGAACTAGAATCAAACACTAACTGTTACATGAACATGGCAAAGTAATGTTTAGTTCTTGTTCATTACTTCTTCACATGTATATATGGATGATAATGCTTAGACTTGGCTAATTATTCCTAGCCACGTACATATCCATGTTAATGTTTAATTTTTAGCTCTTACTCTTACTCCACATAGAAGATAATGTTTTGACATTGTTTGCTTCTCCTTTACATGTACTCATAGGAGAGAATATTTAAACATGCTGATTACTCCTTAATATGTTCATATTGATGTTGACCTTTATACATTGTTAATCACTGCTTTATACATACACATGGAAGATTACGCTGGTTAACAAAATTGAACTTTTTTTCTCTCATCAAAGACGTAGGCACATTTTTCTAGATCAGTTTTGCATGCTGATTCCATTCAATTTTCCTCAAGCACATCTAGTTATCAAAATATGACTGGTAATAATTTCAGCACACTTTAGGTAATAATCACACATTAGGCTAGTTAACATTACAACTTTATTAATTTTTTAGTATCATTCCCATAAACATTATACACACCATATGCTTGCTTAAATTTATACAGTACACACTTATGAAAAAAAAAAAGAAATGTACAACAACTTAAATTATAATTTAGGCCATAACCTTTCAAATTTGATCAGTCTTGATGAGAACTTGATGTGCTAGAAGAAAACCAAAAACAGATTTGGAATCAGCATCCCAAGAGCTATCTAGCCTACCTATAGTTATATCTGATGAAAATGACTTGTTGGCCAGTCTTATGTTAGACATCAAAGAAATCAGAATTACATATTTCATTTATCTGAAACTACATACCTTTAGGAATGTTCATGTCAAATTTCAAACAATTTCATCCAATAGTTTCATCTTTCTAAAGTACTTTCAAGAGGGTTACATAACCTACTTACAAGTAGATCATTGTCATGGAATTAACATGTACATATAGAAGATAGTGTTCAAACATAGTTCTGGGCCTGTCCTATTTGGATGAGTTTCATAAGCTGCCATGTGCTGGGGGCACTGCACATTGTCATAGGCTATCTTTTTGACATGACCACATCCTACCCATGGTTTGGATCCTCACCCACTTGTCTACTGTTATTATGCTGTACACTTGTTCCTCATCCTTTTGTTGCCTTACCACACCCCTCATTGCTAACCTTTCTCTATTCTGGTCTCCTGTGTCCTCATTCTGGATTGGTCCTATCTTTTTTAGTTATGCAGGTCCTCCCTTAAGTCCTTGCTCTGTTTCATGACACCCTTTTTTGTGGCCTCTCACAAGTGATTTTAACCTTGTTTCTTTTGCTCCATCTCCTTGCCTCTCAGCCCTGACTTCCCCCTTCCCAACTTTCCATCCCTTCTGTTCTACCTCACACATCACTCTTTTGTAGGGATATAACATACACTTCTCTTTTTCCATGTATTTGTCTGGTTGGTCATCTCACTTTCCCTTTGTCCCACTCCTGTCACTCTTCTACCATTTACCATTGTATGAGGCATACTTCTCCCCATTTCCCTTGACTTCATTGCATTGCAATGTATTCCTCTTTCATGGGTTTGTTCTTCCATGAACTGTATATCTCGAGTTTTCAGGTGGCCTTTCCTTCACCATCCACCTATCCCAATGTTACAGAACAATTTCTTCTCTGGCTTTTTCCTACTATCCTTCATTCCTTCTTTATCCACTGCTCTCTTCCTACTTCTTGGCTGACTGGATTATCATTGTGGTTTTTCATGTTTTTCCTAGGGTTTGTATTGAACCTCTAGCATATGTTTTGGCTTTCCCTAGACACACATTAGTCCTCTTTCTACTTGCCAGTGATCAACATTGCTCACATATCTTTGCCCTTGTTTCCTTCCACTTTCTCATTACTGCACTTCATTTCTCCTTCATCCTGGGCGATCTGTCCTTCCTTGTATTCCATATCTGGGAATGGTAGTCAATCGTTTTCTCCCATATCATCTCCTTCTATTTCTCTTTTTGGTGATTATTTTGATACAGACAGATGCTCATGTCCTGTGGCATTTAATATTTGCATAGAGAATCCATTTTTCATCACCGGTGACAATTCTATCAAAAAATGGTTCATGCACATTACGTGCCAGAAGAGATGAAGGAACATTCACACGTTGGAAACGATGATCATTGGAGAGTTCGTGAGGCACCCAAAGACCTTCTTTATGGAGTTTCCCATATTCCTTAGATTTTTACATATTGTTTCATGAGAGATATGCAATTACAGGGTCATTTCACGAGTGTGCTGCTTTGGGTTAGACCCAACAAGCGTCTTCAG